AATGATTTTCTAGAAATTTTACCTGCTATTTTTCTTTTGAAATATAATTTAAATCATATTTAAATTTAATAGCAACAACTACTACAATAACAATTCATTAAAGTACGTATTAGTAAATGATTGTTAAAGAATTGCTATCATTGTAAATGTTGGAGGAATATGCAAATTTTCGAAATTAAAATTATTTTCAAATAGTTTTAAAAAATGAAAAAAATTTCCCATTGTTATAAGCTTATCGGGAAAATTCGATATAATAAGAAGAAAAGGACAAATAAATTTGAAAAGAAAGAAGAAATAAATAAATTAAAAAGGATGAATGAAAATGGAATAAGTAAACAAAAAAAAAAAGGAATAAGTAAACAAAAAAAAAACAAATAAACAAAAAAAAGAAATAAATAAAAGAAGAAAAAAACTGAATTGTTGATAAAAAATCAATGGGATTGATATAAATTGCTAATGACATGCAATATTCAGCTATCCTTTCCTACTACTACTATCATTTACTAACTGCTATACCATACTATTATTACTATTATTTTCATCGTCTGAAGGTCATTAAAAAAAAATTAAAAATAAAAAATAGAAAAAGTAAATTTTTTACTTATTGGCGACATCAAATATAAAATAGAAATTAGAACAAAAAAAAGTTTAATATATATATATATATATTTGTGTGTATATTAATGCAAAATGTATAGGAAAAGTTTGATGGCGTTGAAAGACAAGCAGAAGGACGACGGCTTTTTTTTTTTTCAAATTTTATTCCATCCGGGATGAATTTCCAAAAACGACCCCGACATACAGTAATTCTCTGGCTCACTGATAGAAAATGACCTTCAGGCCAAATTTTTGTAGCTTTTTTTATCATCCTCTTTCTCTTTCTCTTTCTCTTTTTCCTATATTTCTTTTGCGGTCTTTTTTTTTCCTTTCAAATTATGTCTTTATTTTTGATAATTTTGAAATACTTCAAAAAATCATCCGGATTTCATCTTTTTTTTATTATTATTTCTCTTATTCTTTCTTTTTTAAGTTTGTTGAAGAAATGTTTTACTTACGTGCATTAATGCAATTCACTATGATACGTAAGAAATTAATTGTTGTTGACGTGAGGAACGTGTACTGTTACGTGTTTATAAATTAAAATAACTACAGATATTATTGATGAACAGAATGACTTATTGATGATGAAATTAGTAAAAATTATGGAAACAATTTTTTGATACAACCCTCTTTTTAATTTAGCTTACGAATATAAGATACGATCCATTTTTATGTATCGATCATCCATCCAAAAGCTTTCACATTTCTCTTTCTCCCTCTCTCTTTCTCTCTTTCTCCCTCTCTCTCTCTCTCCACTTTTCTTTCACATTTTTCTGGCCTAGTAAGCCTGAGAGATATTTAAAATAAATAATGATGATGTTGATGACTATGAATTTCATTGATTAACCTATTTTCAGTATTACATACTCTCTATATGATTGAATAATTTTTAAAATTTAAAAAAAAATTTTCATAATTAAATTTCTTTTTTCTTTTAACAATTACATGATCAAATTCATTTTTTAATTAGTAATTTCAATTCATGGAAAGTTTTTTAATTTCTTACCATAGTGGTTGCAAAGAATTTTTTTTTTTTGTTTTTTTCTCACTGGAACAATTATAAACTGTAATGGAATACTTAATTACAGATTTAAATATGACATCGTTAAATAAATGATGCAATAATTTCTTTCTTCCTTTTTTCTTTTTTTTTTCCTTTCTCCTGAAATCAATATTTATCTTTCAAAAGATAAATATGTAATAGTTTAAAAGCAAAAATCATTATGTCATCAAAAGAATTATCAAATATTTGGGATGAAATTATTGCTGAGAAAGACTGAGAAGCGGGGATTAATGGTGAAGTAAGATAATTTGCAAAAATTATTGAGGAAAACGGAAAAGAGCATAAGGACGGGGAGAATGGGAGACAGGGGGACATGAGACAAGAGACGAGGGACAGGTAAGAGAAGAAGATTGACCTATTCATTACTGTACTTTATGTCACATAGATTATATATTAAGAAAGAAAAAATTGCTCAATTCTTTTTATTCTGATTCAAAAAAAAAAGAGTACAATTTACACTGCGATTAAAATTGAAACGTTGAACTTAAAACTGAAATGTTGAACAAAACGATTAAAATTGAAATGTTGAACTCATTGATAATAAAAAAAAAAAATTAGGACGAAAAAAAAAATTAAAAAAGGTTTGATCTTTTAATGAGTGTGAAAAAGTTATCCTCGAATAAACTATTGATATAGCAAGAATTTTCCCATCTCACCTCCCCGTATTATTTCTATGGTAAATTCTAGGAAACGTAATATAGCATTTAATCTTAGCTTAAGATACTTAGACTAAGTGATAACAATGATAATAATTTAGAAATTGATTGATTGATAATTTCATCATTTATTCATGATGAAATTAAGGATCAATCAATAATCAAAATTCAAATTTCAAGCATTCACTTAATGATTAGAGAAAATAGAATTTAGTGAAATAATTTGAACAACCTATTCCAAACTTCATTTTGCATGAATTAATCTAATTAGAAGTATTTGATATTGTTTCTTGCTTTTGCACTACATAAGTTAATATGAAATAGCATGATGGTTAAGCATTAAAAAGAAGTAAAACCGGAAAAAAGAAAGGATGAATCAGCAAGATGTATTTCCGATAATTTTAACTGATTCCGGTATTAAATTAATAAACAACAAAAAAAAAAATTGATATCATTAATGCTATCTTATAACATTTCATACATAAACAAATCTACAAAATATTTCGTAGTAAAATAACTTTCTTTGTTAATTATATTAAAAATTTTTCAAATGCTATTAAATGAGTTTGCATAATTTGTTTAATTTCAATAATTTTAGAAATAAATTTAAAATAAACATTTGTTATCGACAATTTTTTATTAATAAATTCATTAATACTTCTCATTAATTCTTGAATACATAACATAATGATACTAATATTGCATATATATGAAAGAGATAATATCTCGGGAATAAATTTTTGTTAGAAAATGAACAGGAATGATCGGTCGATGGTGAAGTTATGATGATAATGCTGATGCAAGAACCGGTTTTTTTTCTGTATTAGAATTTATGTGTATGTGTATGTATGTGTGTGTGTGTGTGTGTGTGTGTGTGTATGTGTATGTGTATGCGTGTATATGAAGAAATGCCGCGACATGAATTGCAGTTCAAAACCGCGGTATGAAGATTCAAATAATCGGGAAGATTATTCGAGAAAAAAGGAGAACAGGTGAAAGAGTACATCGGGATTCATTATTATTGTCATCATCATTCGACCTGCTTTCGAGTTCACTATGATGAAATCTCATCCTTTTTCTCTTCTTTTTCAATAATTTGAATATAAGTACACCTTGACACAATATATTTGTGCAAATACAGATCGCTAATTAGCGTGTAATTAAATAGATTAGTATAATTTGAAATAAAGTGAATAATTCAGTTTATCAGTTTACTTCAAAATTTTTAACCATCAATAATTTTTCACAAATAAAATGAGCAGCATTTAAAAATTTGCAGCTTATTGATTGTTTTATTTTGAAATTTTGCAAGAATTATTTTTTAAAAAAATAAAAAACAAAAGGAAAGTTTGGAATTGTTAAATAAATGAAATATATAAAATCTTAATTACTTAATATAATATTGATCTTAATATCTTAATGATATCTTAATTAATCTCAATATGACCTTATATGATACATTTCAAGGATTAGAAATGTGAAAATAGTTGAGAGAAAAGAAATAAATATTATCTTTTACTGATAAAATTTTCAAATTATTTATAGCAATGTGCAATAGCTTATCATTAGTAATAATAATTAGTTGAAAGAACATATAGCAAAAATGATAGTTACTTGGCCCAGAAAAGATAACTTATATAATTATACTAAACGAATTAATTCGATAAAAAATTTGGAAGATAAGAATGTTATTGTACCTGTAAATAATTATTCAATTTTCTTCAACCGTATGATAATTTAAATGGATGAACGAAATTAAATAATTATTTATTGGATTTTAATTTTTTAGCTAAAATGGACGAAAATTCACCTTTTATGACCGATAAAATTTAGCAAATTTTCTTTTTTTTTAAAAAAAAAGTGAAGGAATTTATTCTTTATAAAATTTGATCATAATTTGACATTAAATGGTCATTTAAATGGTTATAGTAAAAAGCAAAAGAAACATTGGATAAATATCAGAAATAATTTTGAAGATTTTATTTCCAAATGTAATTAATTCTTTAAAATTTATTCAATTAAGGGAAAAAAAGATTAATTAATGGGAAAAAAATTTGGTAATTTATTTTTATTTTTTTTTTTACATAACGAATTTCAAAATATATTTCATCATTTTCAATTTTTTATTTTTATTTTATTTTATTTTATTTTTTTAGTTCTTGCTCATTTAACAGCAAATTTCAATTGTATGATTAATTTAAATTTGAAGGAAGAGAAAGGAAAGAAAGAGGAAGGAATGTTGAAATTTGAAATAATCATCAAAATGACTGATTTAAACAAAATGTATCATAACTGTTGAAAAAATAAATAAATAAAAATTTTGATAAAAGTTTACCATTCTGTTAAAAAAAAAAAAAAAAATAGTATGGCAGAAAAAAGAGGACGAGAAGAGAAATAAAGTCAGTTAAATTTCATGAAATTAAAGTTTCTTTTTTTTTGCCACTTTATAATAATATAAATTAATAATGTAGAATTTACCATTTATTCAAGAATGAGAAGAAAGAGGAAGAGGGAGAGAAAGAGAAAGAGAAAGAGGGAAAGGGAGAAGAAAAAATATTAAAATTTCAAATGTTTGAGTAAAATTGGCTATTTAACAAATATTTGCAATTATTTTTTATTTGAATCGGAAAAATCTTTTACAAAAAAAAAAAAAAAAGCGATCGATGTATTTGAAAAGGAAAAAAAATCAAAAATTCAAAATTGATAAATTGTAATTATTCCATTAATTACTTATCATTCAAAAAGATTGAAATTTGTTTGATTTTATTAAGTTTAGATTTGAATATCATACAAGCCATAGTAAATGTTTCTTATTTACATAATTCATAAATTTTAGATTCCAGTTCAAGTGATGAAATTTTACAAATGTCAACTCAAAATACATAGCGGATCGATCATTATTTTAGGTAATAATTAATGACCAAAAAAGCGCTCATAAATATTCATAAGCTTTAACATACTTAAAATTAAATTCTGAGTAATAAAGTTTGTGAAATTTCAATTTCTAATATTCCATTGAAGCTTTCTGAAATTAAAATTAAAAGGCAAAATTTTTTCCGGAAGTTACAAAAGTACTGTCTGTATCGTTTTGAGCATTTAAATTAATCGACAATAGCATATTGCTTAACATCATTAGCATCAAAATTGGAAAATTTCGATCGGAAAATATCCGGGATTGAATATCCGGCAAAGCAAATATTTAGATAGCCTTGTTTAACATCGTTAGCATCAAGATCAGGAAATCTTGACAGAAAAATGTCCGGAATTGAACCGAAAGCAAATGTTTAGACAACTTTGGTCAAATAACACAATCATTAGAATCTTAACAAAGTAAAAGCACACAGAATTGAATTATGCAAATGTTTGCGAAAATTTTTGAAATTTCAATTTTCTTCTTAAAATATAAACAAAAGAAAAAAATTGATGAAATTTAAAAGATTCAAATGATAATTTGGAAAAAAAAAAGAAAAAAGAAGAAAACAAGAA